GTGCTGCAAATACTTTCACCATATTACCAGCAAGAAATTCATTACTGATTGGCTGCTCCTGATACTGAGAGAAAATGCCATTTGATTAAAACAAATAACTTGTCTATAATGTTTCCATGCTACTTAAGCCTACTTTAGAAATAACTGTAAATGAAGATGATAAAACACTGGGACATGATGAGTAGAAAATTTAAACACAAAGGTATTGGGCATGCTCTGCCATGGACCCAAAATGTCCCAGTTCAGGATCACAGGGTTCTGCTCCCAAACTAAAACACTCTTTTTGGAATAAAATCTAGATTCTGATAGTACTCAAAAAGTAAAAAAAATCATTTCAGAGTCTAATGGATGCTTCCATTATCCTGCTATTTTGGTGTCAGATTTCAGGATCTAAATTTCCAGAGCCTGGTTTGCCCAGTCAAGAGACAAGTAAGGCAGTTCATTAAAAGTAAATAGACCCAACAAATGGTCCATGGCTATAAATTTGGTAGAGGCATTAATTCTCACTGCAAGACTTGAGTTTAGAGCCCTTCTAAGAGGTTTTTTTTCACACACACAAAGGAGCTTTACCATGACTACTTAGCAGCTAGCCTGAGGTATAGAGGCTTCAACAATGAAAGAAATATATTCTTACATGACAGGGAGTTTGTGGGAAAATGAGCTTTTTCCCCCTTTTGTTTTCAAAGATAATGAAGTATCTTATGGACCCCTAGAATACTTGTTTTTAGTGAAAAGCAGATGCACTACAATCATTTTATACACCAGCTTTGCACACAAAGGAAACAGGATTCCAGCAGGCACAAATCTTTGCTTACAACCATTGTGGATAAATTTCACAAGTTGTTTTGGATATAAGAAAATAATTGACTTAGAATCAAAACCTAGTTTCATAGCTGTTAAATTACATGTTTCATTTTATTATACTTTTTCTGTTCATTTCATCACCTGTATTAAAAATACCTGTTCCTTTATGGATAGATATTAGCAGGTATCTGAAACTATTTTAAAAAAATTATCTTTCATGCTTTTATTTCTCAATTCATTAAAAATGTCTTTTCCTTGATTCAGTTTTCTCATTAAAAGTGCCTGCATTTTGAATTATTAGGTAATTATCCCAGATAAAACAGTTGAGAAGCTTTAAAACCGAGGCAGTGAAGGCAACAGAGCAATGAGAAACATTTCCACTAGAGAATCCAATCAAGGGCTCATTCACCATCCAACTTAAACTTAAAACCCTTATCTAAACCAAAGCAAACAAAATCCATGAGTCTCAAAGCCACTCTTTCTAGAAGAAAAGGCTCAAAGCCTTATGAGAAACTCACTTTGTGGGACGCCTCACATTCCATTTTAGGTTTATTTCACTATATATATTCCTGCTGGTAATATCAACCAGATGTGACAACGAAGCCCAACCAGCCCTGTAAAAGATTCAAGGATATCCTGAAGCTCAGAATTTAGGAGAGGCTTGGAGAAAAAAGCCAAAGGTACCTGGAGTTGAAGTGAGGGCTGAGTTTATAATCTGAGAACTATTCTGAATTCCATTTCAGTAGCTATCAGGAAGGGGATTGCAGGGGGAATGCACTGTGCATGACCTGGTGACACTCACAGGGACAGCAGGGACAGCAGCACTGCTGTCCCCAGCCATGTGCAGCACGAGAGCTCCCAGGTTTGTCCTGCAGCTTCTCAAGCACATCATCAACATGAAACCAGGTCCTACATTGTGACTGCCAGCACCAGCAGGGCTGAAGAGATTCTGCTGATACCAACCGACAGAAACAAAGCTGGCTCCTCCAGCGAAGCCCCAGGTTTCAGCCTGGCTGGTAGAACACACAGAAAATCCTCTCAGTTGCTTTTTCAGCCTTTAACTACTCCTGAAACATTAACAGGTCTTCCCTGAAAGCCCCAGCACACAAAATTCCTGCATATTTAAGCAGCTCAGTCACTCCATCTCCACCAAATTTTAGCCATGATAATAAATATGCTCAATTTTCACACTCTCACCAAACTTAGAATGTCATCTTTCTATTTAGCTTTATCTTAGAAAAAAGTCTTGCTCCTACCTTCATTAACAAAGCCATGGACTGTTACATTCACTGCCTGCCTGCTGGAGAGGGCAGCTTCAGAATCACAGAATTCATCTCTATTTCCTCCATGGACAAGACTAGGAGCTCTTCAGTCCAACGAATAAACCCAAATCTCACAATTTGGACATACTGCACTGAAATATTTAGTTCTTGGAAATTTTGTCTTGTTTGAGCTGTAGCAAGCTTACACAATTAAAACACTCAACTTTTGGACTTTGTATTTTATGAGGATTATAATTATTAAGAAGAAAATAATAGAGTAATGTCGGAGTAACTCAGAGTCAAGAGCTGGAAAATATGGCAGCAGAAGTACTATAGCTATACCATGGAAAATTAAAATTAAGACCAGCCTTATCTACACTTTTTAATGTTCATTTAAATTCACTGCTCGTAAATTCCACAGAATCTACCTCACCCCTGCATCAGCCTGTCTTATAGATTTTTGTTTCACTGCTTTTATGCCCTTTCATCACTTTCTCAGCTCTGCTTTCTTCTGGAGAGGCTGGGTGAGAGCAGCTGCAGGGAGGAATGCAGCACCACTGCCCCTGCACTCAGGAGCTGAGAGCAGAGGGGCACTGCTGCATTCAGACAAGGCAGAAGCAAGAAACAACAGCTCTGAATCTGCCAGCAGTGGGACCAAGACAGCAACAGGAAACAATAGAGAGCAACCATATATATATGCATGGGTGTATTTTTATAAATTCTAGTAGGAAGCAAATTTTTCATTCTTCTCCCATGACGGAAAAACACGCAACCAAACTACCCTTGGAACTGTACCAGTTCACTTGAGCTAAGATTTATTTGCTTATAATACACACTGTATTTATATAACACTTGTATCTTCAAAAGAAAAAGCAAGTTTCTTCTGACAAACAGAGTTAAAGTGATCTATCTAATGCACTGCTCAACAGTAAGCAAGACTGAAAGGATGTCAGTGAATAAAGACAAATGTTCCAACAGCACCCGTTGGGAGGCATTACAGAGCACAGCTTTCAGATTAATCACTCCATTCTACGGAACTTTATTACAATCTTTATATTCTAAAAGCAAAATTATTGCCCTTGCTGTTAAGGGCTATAATGTATCATGATTACATGACCTACTGAAAAACACACTCTGAGGTACTGAACAGCCTCAGCTACTTGGGCTTCAGTTCTTTCTGCCAGGACAGATGCACACAAGTTATCAACACACAACATTCCACTGAAACCACAAATTACCAGGGAGCTCCTCTCCTGACATCCAGGTACAATGAGACCACTCACAGAGCAATTTTCAACATGTTAAACTGGAATTTGTAGAGATCCAGGTAAACTCTGTAAAAGCTTTTCTCTGGAAAGCATCATCTTATCCTTAGACAACCAGCCCACATAAAGCAACTCTTGTAACAAATAAATACAACTGGCACCTTCCAGAGACCAGATTAAGGTATCTGCAACTATGTCCCAGCTCACACTTTGTGCTCAAGTGGAGTTTCAAGATGTAAAATTTCAAAACCATGCAAAGAACATTAGGAAATGCAACCAAATTGCCCAGCTCAAGCAGATCCATTCAGCAGACACATCCTAGTGAATTCAAAAGCCATGACAAAGCTTGCAAAACAAGTCCAACCAAGATTTTTCCAAGCAGATTTTAAGGCTAAAACACATCTATAGCTTATATTTTTTTAATATTTTTTTTACATCTGCAGAATAATGGCAGTGACTTGTACAGTTTTTCATGAGCAAGTTTGGGCAACACCAGAAGTTCATTAGAGAATTTCTCCAAAATGTCAATATTACTTGTAGCACAGCACTTTTCAGCTTGCCTGTTTTAAACACAAACCAAGATCCTACTTCTTTAAAGTCATCTGATTCCAAAATTAATCTGCACTATCACCATGTGGTTTGTATTTCCATGGGAAGAAAAATTTACTGTCTAAATGGTTTGGTTGCACATTGATGAATTAAAACAATTATAAAAACCCCACATGAATGGAGAACTTTTTCAGCCACCCTGTAATAACTTCACAATTTCACAAACCAAATCTTTGGAGCTGATTTTCCATAAACAAGTCAAGCATTAAAAGATCAGTTTTACCAAATTTCAAAAAGCCAGTGTGGATCATGAGTTTAACTTTGGCAGGATCCAGAAAATTAATTCAAACAGTTTTTGAAGACTCCCTTGAAAAGGCAGGTGACTGTTTTTTGATAGTAACTTCACAGGCACCTGCTCATCTATTTTATTTTTATGCACTCATCCAGTTATTGTTCTACCACCACCCTCTCCCTCCTCCAAAAACAAATAATGCCAAGTTCATGATATCCTTCTCTTGCTGTTGACATGGGCCTTGATGCCATCTAAACATTTTATAACACAGTTTTTATATTTCAAATTTAAAAAATATTTACTTTTCCATAATTTCTCCTCTTCCTGCCTGACAAGGCACCAGCCATAACTTTGCTGGTCTATCTGGCAAAGCCTTGACTCACTTGGAAAGATAATTTTCCAAACTAAAGATTTTATAGCCACCTCCATTATTTTAAAATAAGTATAAGCACTTGTTTTTAAAATGAAATAAGTATATTCACTTTGTGGACATCTAGTCTGAACCAGATATGTGAACCTGACACTTTCCATGGTTTCTGTAGCTCTACAGAGAGGGTTCAAAATAAGTCACCTTGACGTCATCCTGGTGAATAGATGAGGAACACAAAAATCCTGTGGTTTCTCTTCCCTCTGATATTTATGCTCTACCAAATTACAACTACACACAAGCACACATAACACATCCCCTAAAAAGCCCTTACTAAGTGGCAGTTTAATATCACAGAAATTAAACCTCTCGCCGCAGTCAAAACACAAACATGTGAATCTGCACAATGAGGAACAGAAAATAGAAACACACCACAGAAAAGTAAATCAGGTTATACTTACAGCCTAGTTAGCTTCTGTGTGTTCTGGAAAAGCAGCTCTGGAAGAACTTGCAATTTATTCTTGTTCAGACGCCTAAACAGTTATAATCAGAATAAAAAAAAATAGATTAGATTATCTTCCAATTGAAGAAATTTATTCTATTATGCATAAACATATGAAGCTCCCATTGCATCAAACCTCTTTCTATGAATTTGCCATTGGATGCCTTGTGCATTTTATTCATACTGGAGCCAAACTGTGTCACTTGTAGAGCACCTGCCCACATGCACGACGTGGGGAGTCAAGGACAGGCACCACAAAGTTTTAATATGGATGAGTACAAAAACATAACTTTTAAATTCTCCTCTAAATGCCTACTGAGAATCATACACTCTGCTTCAGGAACAGCTACTGGCAGGAATCTGGATTTTCATTCTTCTTCAAAAAATGTGGCACAGTACATTCAGTAACTTGACCAACCAAGATTATTCCCAGATTAGCTATTATTTCTGTAGTATACATAATTGCTTTTTGAAAAGAATTTTCTTGAAACTTCACTTGGAAAACCTGAGCACTGTTGTAGAAAATATGAACATATGGGTAACCAGATGACTACATGGTGATTTGAAATAGAATATTAATCCTGAAGATTCTTCCAGGAACATTTTAGAGAACAGATTAGTGTGTATACATTAGTCCCTTTTACTCACTCACTATACAAGTTTTTACTCTGGTGACAACTTGCCAGTTTTTAGCAAACAACCATTCCAAGATATTCCAGCCCTGTAACTATAAAAAGCATGTGCCTCCTCTCCATAAAATGTGTGACAGCCCTGCAAAATCTGCAAGCACTTCTGCTTGTAAGACACAATCCTGTTCTTCAGTTCTTTTTCAATGAAAACACTCACCTGCTCCCACAGTCCTAATGAATGCTATTTGCATAAGGAGTTGACCTGAGCTAATTACAAACAACCCCACTGCGTAAAGGGGAAGCTGAGCTGCTCTCTAAATTCATATATGAGCTTTGTGCCCCCTTTGTTCCCAGTCCTTCCAGGTTAACTTTGACAGCAGATCTATTTCTGCTGAAGTTTTGATCTCCAAAGACTCCTGGAACTGTTATAAACCCACTGCTGCTTAGCAGCCCATATCTGCTTTCCTCTTCTCTTGCATGCTGAGTAATTTCACTATCAGAATTCAAGAATTTTTGGAATTGAAAGGCCTTCCTGAGATCAAACTAACGTTGTGGGGTTTCATATGGCAGAGTTTTCACATGGCCACCATATGAACGTGTCTTGTGAGACAAAGGGGTGATGGAGGAGAGGGGAATTTCAACTTCTCTTTCTGACACCTAGAACAGATCAAAGGCTGCATCTGCAGGCTCACAGAGCCTGAGCACTGTGCATTGCACACACCACATGAGAACCAGTGTTTGTACCTGCTGAAGTTACATCCTGCAGCTTCTACCAACTACTCAGTGACATTTTTGAGATAAATGGACATAACAGCAAATAAACTTTTAAAGAATATGAAAGATGCTAGTTTTGCATCTGAGAAAATACATGGGAAGATTTGAAACTGGATTCCCTTACATGATATTTCACAATTTCATACCTAAGTAAACAATCTTATTTAATTCAAGGTTGATGGCAATGTGCTACTTAGCCCTCATCAGAGTCACTGCTTTGGTTAATCATGTTTATGTTTTAGAATAACAGGATGAAATATAACAAAAAAAAAAAAAACTTATTCAGGGCTTAGCACTCCTTATCCCTCCTCCTTCACCAAGGCCACCACTAGTCATTGAGACACACTGAACAAAATCAACATATTTATCATCCAAAATGTGAGAGTGCCAGTGAAACACATCTCTTACACACAGTGTCAAATGCTTATTCCTGAGTCTGATTATCATTGCAGATCTCACAATGTACACATAATTATGCACTGTCAACCCAAAGTCATCTGACTCATCTCAAAGCAACATCCCAGGAATATGTTTTAAGGCTATTCTTTTCTCTACTTGCAAGATTTCACAAATGCTGAGTTTATGCTTATTGTTCTAAGCCAAAGAAGCTAATCAAAATCAGATTAAATTTCTAGAGCAGGAGGTTTCACACCAACAAGCACACACGAAAATAAATGTAGTAACAAGAAATTGTATTTCCAGGTTAGCAAATGTTTCACTGAGAATTGAACCATTTACAACTTCCAGTGACACAAACAACCCAGAGGGGGAAAAGAGCCTAACATCAAGGGTTCTTTTCTAATTTACTATCAAATTAATCCAGAAGATTGAACATCTTATGTTATTTCCTATTATTTATATGGGCCAACACTCTCCTAACTGTGATAGCAAAAGGACCAAGTTCTCAGCTGCCCTTTTTAACTCTCCTAAACATTTTAATATCTCAACCTGAAGTTCCCTCCATACTTTCTTTCAAACATTGTGAAGTAACATCCATGCAAGGACCCTTGCAGAGCTTACACTGTGAGCTGCTATTCATGAGCACTAAACATTTTGTATGGGTCTAAATGTACTTAATATTTTTAATATGATATTGTAATAAATGAAATGCTTTTTAGACTGCAGCAGAAAGGAAACTGAACTTGTATATCAAGGCCAAGAACTCAATGATATTCTGCCTTTAACTTACGTAAACTGGATTTTCAAACTCCCCCAGCACTGCTGGTCAGTGCTCCTGCACAGATTCCATCCTCCAGAAGCTTCAGGTGAGCTTTATTTCTGCCACAAACCAGAGTTTGCAGCTCTCTAATAAAAGGTTATGTTACTAATTGATAATGAAGCAAATTAATGTAACACCAAGTAACACCAAACACTTGAAGACAAGTGTCTATCCCTGTCTTATTTCAAACTACAGGACTCTCCAAACCTTCCACCACTTCCTAAGATTTATTTCAAGTTTAAACTTCCTCCAAAAGTCATTTTATTCATAGTTTGATTCTCAAGGGAGCTGTGGGAATGAACAGGGAGTTGTTTCTGTTGAACATCACCTACTGCATTATAACTTCTACTGCAATACCTACTGAAATATAAGACTAGATCACCTCATAGAAACTTAGACATACTTGATGTAGGATACATTTAACATGCTCCTATTTATTATGTGCCAGAAAGCCACCAATAGCCTAGGAAAAAATCCCAATTACACCTCTTATTTCTCCTCCTGGGCTTGGGAGAAAGGCCATCAAGAAAGTCCTCAAAACAGAAGTATCAAAGTACCAGACAGGATGTTTTTAAATTCCAAAGAAAGAGACAGAGACATGTTTAAAGATTATTTAATGCAAAGACCAAATGTTCTGAATGGCCATTTGTAAGCACTGTTTCCTCTGGTTTGACAAAGAGGTGCCAAACACGGATGAAATGCAGAGGAAGGTTCCTAACACATCATTTGACAAGGACTGGGGTTTATCCTCACCTCTCAGTATCAGTTCTAGGACAGAGAGGGAAAATTCCAGTGCAAGGTGGAGCAAACCTTGGGAATGCCAGCACAGGGATGGAGCTGTGCCCCAGCAGAGGTGCCAAGCACACCTGGGCACACTGAGGGTCTGTAGGGCTGCAGCCCCTCCCCAAACCCAGTGATCCTCAGAGAGGAACAGAAATGCCCCTGCAATCACCACCCCATTACTGCATGAATCTAAATCCTGCCCAGTTTTAATTACAGCACTACTTTTGTGTCACAGACACATTTTATGAAAAATCCTTTCCTTAGGATTTTTCCTCCTGAGAAGCTGAGAGGCCTCAGGAACAAAATGTAACCAATGGTTATCTGCTGCTGTGGAATGCAACAGGTGCATCTGGGATTGGGCTCATGTGGTTGTTTCTAATTAATGGCCAATCACAGTCAGCTGGCTCAGACTCTCTGTCCGAGCCACAAGCCTTTGTTATTCATTCTTTCTTTTTCTATTCTTTGCTAGCTTTCTGATGAAATCCTTTCTTCTATTATTTTAGTATAGTTTTAATATAATATATATCATAAAATAATAAATCAAGCCTTCTGAAACATGGAGTCAGATCCTCATCTCTTCCCTCATCCTAAGACCCCTGTGAACACCACCTGATCACACTTTTGATTTTGTAACAAGTATCTTGGAAATGGTGAAGCCATAGAACAGTGAAATAAAAACAGCCTGCTAAAAGTTCATAAACAAAATGAGCCAGAATTTTGTAAAATTATTCTGTGGATGTTGTTCCTGGGACTGTGCTTTATTAACAAATAGAGATACTCCTGATTTTAAATTAGTGACTTAAAATAGAAACAACATCAGGTCATACCTGGGAAATGAATTTAAATCCAAGCCAGTTTTGCAGCTGTTACTGCCTACATCAGGGAAGAATGTTGGATCAGCTTTGTGAATCTGAACAGTAAACTACAATTAAAAAAAATATCATTATCAAACTAAATTCCTGGGACTGTTCAGACTAGGAATGCCACCTGGGATGCAGCACAAAAAGAAACCCTTGGAACTGAGCTCCCTGGGCTCCTCAGGCTGGGAGCACAGAGCCCTGCAGGCAGGACCATCCACAGCAGCCAGGCATACCCAGGGCAGGGAGGAACCTGGGGCACAGAGCCAGCAAGGATCTGCTCCACATTATGTGACCTGGGATTGCTGGATGGGAAAGCAGCTGCTCAGCCTCCAGTGTATCCCAAACTGGATGCTTGACAGCTCATAAGACCTGCAAAGTATTCGGGGAATTTGGAGCACTGGGCAGGATGATGCATAATCATGGAGTGCCTCGAACAGATTGGCTCCAGTGCTGATCAGAGGCAGCCCTGGATGTGCACAGCATGGAGCCCAGACTAATAAACCTCCTGGAAGCTGAAGAACTGTGCAGAGAGGCTCTCCAGGAGTCATATCAGCTCTGGCAATACCTGCATTGAGTCAAATTTATTAACTCTGATTAGACACATGCTGGCTGTGCAGTCAACAATCCCCACACGCTGCAGCTCCCTCAATCTTCCAGGCTCCTTTAACCACTGCTGGGCACAGGAAATAGAACTTGGCATGTTCTGTTTTGTTAGTCTGCTCCTCAGGATCCCAAAAGTGACCCAACAGAGCTGACCAGGCACCAA